ATTGAATGACGCATTTGCAAGGAATTGAAGTGCTGGTTGTATACTTTTTGGTCATCACATGTTGCCAGTCAAACAGTGGATATTGATCAACTGTGTGTTCTCCATGTGTTGTTGTTTAAAGTGATCTCAAGTTGACCCACCGGAAAGCCTCGTATGTGTGTTTTTTACTTTGTCGAAACGTCGTTTTGGGGCTCAATGATTGTAGTGTCACCTCCATCACTCCTTGCAGTTTTTGAATGTCGTACTGAGCACGAGGAGTGTTTTTTCAAAGGAGCTAAAAAGGTTTGAAGCTTGTGGAATTCCTTTGTGAGGCTTTTGTACAGTTGTAGACATACTACATTCAGGCTCCCGCGCCACCACTAGTGTTCATCGATGAAGGAACCTGCAGAACCTACTCCAGTGACTGGGGGTCATGCTGCATGCTGTTCGTGCAACTCTATATATATATATATACGTGCATAAAAGTCTTGTGCAGTAGCAAGGCGTTTCCGTTTTACAACTCAAAACCGTGTAGGAACCTTGATTGTCACGAAAGATGGCCTCAGCATGCCTCAGCTACCTGAGATCAATGTACTCTGGGACTGTTGGAGTACGAACAGGCAGAAGGCACAGGCATCCAGTAGCCTTCCCTGTTGAAAGTTTGTTGACACATAACCCCATGTACCAGACCACGATACTTGTAGTGAGACAGTTGTGCTGGGCTGAGCGACTGAGTTTGCTGTCCAGGTTTTAAAGGCTGAATAGAGAGCACCTCTACCACCCTCTACAAAATGTTCATTGGCAATCCATCCCGAAAAGAGTCACTGAAAGGCGCTTAAGCTTGCCAGATCTTCCCAGGAGGGAATGGCTGCCTTTGTACCACGGGCCAAGAATGTCGCCACAATTCTGCAGGCCGTCACTTCGAAGGTGTCCAACTCCTCGGTTCTTTGTTGAGTTGAGAATTGTTTCTAATAGCAGTGGCCTCCACCCTGGTAGCGATGGCCTCCAATCTACTAGCAATGGCCTCCAACAGCCAAGAAAAGAGCGCCAAGAAGAGCAAGAGCAGACATGTACATCATGGCCATTGCACGTCCATGTCAATACAAGAATCATCAAGAACCGATTTGATCTGAGTCACCCTGTACACACGATGCGTGGAGGAATTTGATGGGGACATCAGCCAGTTCATCAAGAAGCATTGCCTGGAGCTTGACCACTTGATGGGCTTCTTTTCATGTGTTGGCTCAGCACTTGTAGGATGGATGGATTCCATGAGATGATTCAATGCAGGGTTCAGAGTAGTGGTTGTTTGAACTGCAAGCTGCCATTGGGCTGTTGAACTCCAATCAGACGCAACCGGAAGGGTAGTGCACGGAAAGAGTTTGGAAAAACAAAAAAAGACTATTCTACCAACATCGTGGAAGGCACGGGACAATCGTAGAACCCAGGGCTATACGTGGACATTTCGTGGAATGGTGGGCCAGTAGGAGAACTGACGGCAACAAAATCCCAGAAACCTTCGCAGAACTTCGTGGAAGGTATTTTGATGCACTAACTTCGTGTAAGCAATTTTTGCTGATCGCCTTTCTCCACACGCCCTCCATTTAGCCTTCATCCAAGGTGCTGGGTCTGTTTCGGCCGCCTACGACCAACTCTGCGGCAGCACAGCAGGGTTCGGCGATGAGTTTAATTTAGTTCACTGCTGTTTTCTTTCAGTTAGTTCGCGCCATGCCAATGCAAGGTACTGCATTGCCACTTACCTCCTTGGGATTGGGGACCGCCATTTGGATAACATCATGATCACTGAGGACAGTTTGGACCCACCATCCTAGAAGTTGATTCTATGTGTACAGCATATATATTACAATATACTGCAAATATTGATGCACGTCATCCGAAAGTCAGTCAGCTCACTACAAGGACGGACATTTCTTCCACATCGATTTTGGCTTTGTCCTTGGGGACGACCCAAAGCCGGGAGCACCTTCAGTGCGAGTCCCGTCCTGAGCATGATGGATAGACTCTCGCATGGTTCACAGTAACCGTCAATAGACTAGTCTCGCTACAAAAGATACGGAACATCATATCATGGAACAATATTAGTCAAAGATCTGGCTCATTTAGCCACCAAGGTGCCCAGTGAGGTGCTAGAAGTGTTGAGGCACCGATGCAATGCATCCGCTTTTGTATTGTCGTTTTGGAGCTATGCGAATAGTTTCTTCATCATGGGAGGCAATCAGGTCGAATTGATCGCTTCCACGAGCTTCTGCGGGAGGCAACCGTGAGGGGCGCTTGAAGTACCGTGTCCGTGCGGGTGTGTGTGTGTGTGTGTCAACCCCTGTTCCTAAGGGTTCTGTAATCCTGTTCAGCTACCACGGCAGGGGGATCAGGGACGTTTGGCTTGGCCTGATCCAACGAAGCTCCAGCCATTCGTCAGGATATTCTCGAGGGACGCCTTGAGAACGTACCTGCTTCCAACGCACTGACTCCAATG